TAATGACTCTTCTCAAAATTACAGGTGGGATCTTCCATACAGCTGAATTATTCATTTCTCTCAAATCTGGAGAAAAAGAAAACCTTTTGTCTTTTCTTCACAATTGTATACTTGGAACATTGTAAAATCAGAAGACAATTAAGGTAACACAAAGGTGTTTAGTCTTGTTTTGGAATGATAATGACTCTTCTCAAAATTACAGGTGGGATCTTCCATACAGCTGAATTATTCATTTCTCTCAAATCTGGAAAATTTTGTCTTTTCTTCTTAAGGTATAAGGAACATTGTAGATCAGAAAGGTAACACAAAAGGTGTTCAGTAGTCTTGGACAACTTTGGAATGATAATGACTCTTCTCAAAAATTATGGGATCTTCCATACAGCTGAATTATTCATTTCTCTCAAATCTGGAGAAAAGAAAACCTTTTTTGTCTTTTCTTCTTACACATTGTATACTTGAGAACATTGGAAGTGATCAGCCAAGACAATTAAGGTAACACAAAGGTGTTCAGTAGTCTTGGACAACTCTTGGAATGATAATGACTCTTCTCAAAATTACAGGTGGGATCTTCCATAATAGCTGAATTATTCATTTCTCTCTCAAATCTGGAGAAAAGAAAACCTTTTGTCTTTCTTCTTACACATTGTATACTTGAGGAACATTGTAGAAGTGATCAGCCAAGACAATTAAGGTAACACAAAGGTGTTCAGTAGTCTTGGACAACTCTTGAATGATAATGACCTTCTCAAAATTACAGGTGGGATCTTCCATACAGCTGAATTATTCATTTCTCTCAAATCTGGAGAAAAAAAAAACCTTTTGTGTTTTTTCTTACATTGTATACTTGAGGAACATTGTAGAAGTGATCAGAAGACAATTAAGGTAACACAAAGGTGTTCAGTAGTCTTTCTTGGAATGAAATGACTCTTCTCAAAATTACAGGTGGGATCTTCCATAAGCTGAATTATTCATTTCTCTCAAATCTGGAAAAAGAAAAAACCTTTTTGTTTTTCTTCCCGTAGAAGTGATCAGCCAAGACAATTAAGGTAACCAAAGGTGTTCCCAACTTCCTGATATTGTTTGGACCTAAACTTTTTGTCTACAAGACAATAGTCCAAATAATGTAAATAATTCATACTGGATTTTAATATTTATAATTCATACTGGATTTTAATTCTAATTTCAATAATTAATACTGGATTTTATGTTAGGCCTGAATAGATTAATATTGTTTTTTTCTCTCAAATCTGGATCTCAGCATTCTTGGTAGATAGAATTTTCATTATTATTATTATTTTTTTTTTACTATTTAAATGATTTGTAAGTTGTTTTGGCTCTTGATCCCTAATATTTGTATCTGGAAAAATCAACTTGCAATAATTATTAAAATCTTTTATTTTTTTTCCATAACTATGAATATTATGTGTGTGTGTTTTTATATATATATATATATATATATATATATATATATATATATATATATTTATATATATATGATTGTGACAAATTACTTGAAGCTAAACAAGCAAGATGTTTTGTGTGCTTTGCATGTAGATGGCCATTTGCAATGTGGGAAGCACATATGTTTGTGTGTGATAAAAACATCTTTAATTAATAAATATTCACAAGTTCAATGTGTATTTAAGGACTCCCATGAAGAGGCAGCTTGTTAGCTAAGCTTGGAAGTGGTTATGGTAGATTGCGTGTTCCACAGTTTATGGTGTTGGAATGATTTATTCTTTCCTTGTTGGCGGACTTGTTTTGAAGTCTTTCTTTGTGGTTTTGTTGTAGAATGGATCGACAAAAGGGAAACAAGGATTTGAACCACAGGAACAGAACACTTAAATAAAAAACAGAGCATCTCTTTCAAACGGATACTGCCCATACCTTGGGTTCAAAGGTATGGATGGGCTTTTACAGTTACAAAAATGCAAACTCTTGTTTTGCAATCGTAAATCATAAAAAGCTGATATGAAACAAAATAGATAAAAAGCAGTGCATTATTTTTTTTTTTTTTTAAATATAGTTTTCTTATGGTAACTTCAAGTGGAATGATCTGTTACCAAAATAACAGATCTCGTCTGGGATAAAGTCATCTAGGAGTTGGTCTAATGTCCTCATCTTTGTTCAAACAGAAATCACATTGTATTTTATATTATAAAAAAAAAATGTTGCTGTTGTTGTTATAATGGAACAACTCATTATTAAGAACGGGAGAGCAGGCTGTGTGGCATAAATACATAACGTTACATTATGTTCTTGTTAACGTTATAACAATGTTGCAGACTGGCGAATGTATCTTAGGTATCAGAAGGTTACTTTATTGATAGGGTTAATGATGTTGGTGTTCTTAAATATTCATCCATAACAAATTTAGAAACATGAATATTAAAGACAAATCATTCAAAATAAATCAGAATATTATGTGTGTGTGTGTTTTTAACAACGTAGTTAAAGATATAGCAATAACATGGATTTATATAGAATAAAAATACACAATTGAATCAAAGGTTGTTGAATAAGTGCGAATGGTTGAGTTGAATTATGTAGTGTATTTTTATGCCAAGTTTCAGTGTGTAAAACTGTTATTAAGATTTGTGTGTGAAATTAAACTAAACAAGCAAGTGTTTGTTCATGTACAAAATGTCTTTTGTGGCAGTTCAGTCAATAGTGTGGGATAAAGTCATCCTAGGAGTTGGTCTAATGTCCTCATCTTTGTTTGTTTAAATTTTATTGTCCAAAAACTTTAGTTGTTTTAATGTCTGATTGAATGTTTATCTTAATACTTATTAGTAGTGAGTTATTAAATCACCTTTTTAGTATTGTAAGAAAATTGTTCCTGGTAGAGCAAAAAAAACTTGAATCGTGTGTTGAGTCAGAGAATTTTACATGGGAATGTGTTATTAAGATTGGTTAAATTAAACTAAGTGATTTTGACTGGCGTGGATTAGTTTGGCATTTCTCCAGGATGAAATTCTGACTGCCTGTACGTGTGTGAGTGTTGTAATGATCTTTAATGTCTGACCTCATGGTTAAGACGGGCGCTCTTGAAGGTTACATTTTGGCAGCAAGAATGAGACGCAAGAGAGAGAGAGAGAGAGAGAGAGAGCTTACACGTGTTTTTATATAAGGCTGGGTATCACGTGATCGGCTCTGAAGCGAAAACATGGGATATATCATTCATCGTGTGCAGGCAATCTGATTGGTCAGAATTGACCAATCAGTGAGCTAGTTTGAGGAGATTAACCAATGAATGCTTGTCGCATGATTTGTATGTATGTGATGATAATCACCACAGGGGAAGAGTACATTTCCCCTGCAGGGGGTGACTGGCAAACGTGGACGATTCCACAATCTCATTACTAAGAGTAGGAAATCTGGCTGTGTGACTGACAAATACATTATGACATATTGTTCTTATTATAGATGTTCCGTTATAATGATAATGGAATATCTCATCACTAAGAAGGAGAGATCAAGTTGTATGACTAGTAAAGTCACATTGTAATTTTTATTCTAAAATTGATTTTTTTTTTGTCTGTTTCACTTTTCTATGCAAACAAAAGAATCCAGTAAGTAGAGATGGGTGGATTTACTGTCTCCATGTAGTGGACTCTTTTGATGACATAATAGAAATAGAATTCCTTGTTATTTTAAACTTGACAAATAAAACTCCATAATTTATGTCTTCCAAATAAATGGATAGTATCTGTATATATTTCTGAGATGAGATATTATAATTATTTACACTATTTATATTGTTTGGACTGTTGTCCTTATCTTTGTTGCCATATTCACATCATTTTGGCCGTTCTATGCTCCTGCCTTCTTCATGATCTGTCTATATTTCTGAGATGAGATATTTTAATTATTTACACTGTTTACATTGTCCGAACTGTTGTTCTCATCTTTGTTGCCATATTTTGGTTGTTGTATGCTCCGACCTTCTTCAGGGGATTGGAATTTTGAACCAAATCCTTTATTTCTTCCACTGGGGTAGATTGTTCTAGTTCCATGTGCCATGCCTCATCCAGATATCTCAATATCAGTTATTTCCCTTCAACTCAACTCACCAATAGAATATAAAGAGAATGAAGATTGTTTGCTACAATGCACATAGCAGGGTTGGTCTTAGCTGTGAAGGTTAGAACTGGTGGGGCTCAGGAATATAGTTCATCTGAGCACTTTCCATGGAAATAACAATAGAGCAGTGAAAGTTTTGTGATGTTTTGACTGTGAGAAAGGAGTTGTATGGTAGAAAATAAATCATTGCCCACAAGGATGTGGAGACACTTTTGGACTCTATTGAGACTGAAAAGTGAAGAATGGGCAACTCCTGCCCAGGTATGGCAGCAGTAGTCATAATTGTAATGTATGTTATTTGTATTGAAATGTGCTGGAGAATTACCTCAGAGGTTCAAGAGGACCAGAGTGGCATAGCCTAAATTTGCACATAAGATGAGAAAATTGTGAGCAAGGCAAACTGTACGAGTATGGCCCTGGAATGAAATGACACACGTGTCACTGAGCCAGACTGAGTCTGGCAGTGTACACAAGATGCTAATTTTCTGGCTTAGCAAAAACAAATAAAGGAGATGAGTGTTTGTTGGGACATGAATAAGTGTTTGCGCTCAGCTCAGGTTGGTGCATTGCGGTGTGTGTGCTAAACCAGATTCCCTTGCCAGTGTTCCAGTGTCTGTGCTGCAGAAGAAATTATTTCCTGCTACATATAACAAAGAAATTAACAATTAATTGAACTGATTTTATCAGCATCTTGATCAAATGTTGAGTATGAGTTTCTAAATTCTTAAAACATTTGAGATGAAATATTAGAATGGATTTAATTTGGGTAATGGAAAAATGTATGGATTATTTCAATTTTTTTCTTCATTTAGCATCCAGATTATTGAGAAAGTATTGTAATGTTTATTTTGTCTTTACAGACTGACTCCCAGAAGTTTACTTGTAAAAATCCTAATCCCAATAAAATGTGTTCAACAATGCTGAATTCTGATAATTGCCTTATACCTTTGAAGGAAGATTCTTTGTCTGAAGTAGAACATCTGCCAGGACTGTCTTTAGCTGATGAAGAATACTTTCATGAACCATTCTTGTGTTATCTCAAAAACAAGAATCCAGCAACTGGTAAGTGATGTCTCTGATCAGAAATTGAAATGTTATTTACTTAATTCTTTGGTAAATAGAAAATTAATACCAGTAATACAATAAAGCAACTCCACATAACAAATTATTACCTTTTGATAACAAAATTGCTGTATGTAATGGCTCTATGAAATTTATATCTATATGTAAAATACATATGAGGATTGCTGAAAAATTTTTGGTCTGACATACACAAATCTCAAGATTTGACCAAACATGAGTTTTTTTTTTTTTTTTTTTTAGGACTTAGGCCACAAGCCTTTCAGCATATCCTTGTGTGTAAAAACACATGCCCACAATCTGCCTGGAAAATATTCAACCATTTTAGATAGCTAAAAATGGGCTGTGTGACCTTGATATAATTTGGCAACTAATCAGAAGTTACCTTTTTTGTTTTAATAGATTACTATCTTTTGATTAAAATAATATTTTACGTACAGAATTGTACATTGTTTCCTTGTTAAATTATTGCTGTCACAATATATGATAGATGTAAAAAAAAAATAGTAATTAAAACAAAAGTTATAGCAAAGTGAATAAAATTGTCTAACATCTAGGTACACCAGATGTGAAAATTTAAATTTAAAACAGCCTCCATGTATCTTTAACAGGAGTAAAGGTTTTTCTTTCAGAGAATGGAATAAGAAGCAGAAAAAGAAAAAATTCTGTTTAATTTTTATTGTTATATTTCATATTTACAGAAGGATTTAATTCAGTGTTTGATAATTCCAGTGGTCTGCAGTTGTTTGATCCAATTAATGTAAGTATACCATTGTTATTGTTTATTATTTTTATATGTAAAAATTAATGTATGATTACTTCCCTTAGTCATTTTAATAATCTATACAATTAAAATGAAGTGTATATCTCTTTTTGTTTTTTCTTATAAACAGAATTACTTCCTGGGCAGGGACCACTAGGTAATGTTTAACTTTCATGTCCCCCCCCCTCAAAAAATGGTATATCTAACAGATGGTTTTTCCCTTGACACCACTATTATTTTAACTACCTGTACCCTTTAGCAATATTTTAAAAAGTAAGGATTAGAATTTTAACAAAATCTAATCATATGAAAGTGGATTTATACATTTCCTTTATTCTTGAGAATTGACAACAAAAATAATAAACACTGTTTATTAGATTTGATTGATTTTGTTTTTTATTGCTCATCAACCCCTCAGGTTATTTAAAGCCAGGAAATATTTTTCGATTGTAAGAATCTTTTGGAGATATATGCTTACTGAATTTATTTGATAAATTCAATGCAATACATTTTAAAATGTAATTTGGTGTGGGTGGGGGTAGTATTGTACAGTGAATATTGCCCAAATCCTACATTTTAACTTGAAAATTTGGGGGTCAACTTATATTCCCAGTCGCTTTGTATGCCAGCATATAGAGTAATTTCTTTTGTTTTTCATCTGATTGTAGTAATAGTAGTAATTATTATCTACTCAGACAAGTTTACAAGGGTGGTGTTATAGATGAAGACATGTAAATGTGATTAATTCTCAGCCAATCATAAGCTTTATGCTTTAAAAACTCCTGTGTTTGTCACCAAGAAAGTTTTTTTTTTTTTGTCACCACTTAGATCATTGAAGAGTACAGCTTTTGTATCCTACTTCGTTTTTCCAAAACTTAAATTTTTTTCAGTATCTGTCATTTCATTTTCAGGAATCCAATGTTCCTGAGAACAATCAGTCTACAGATGATGTTTTTCCTGAGTTGAATGATGTTGTCCCTGTATGTAAACAAGCCTATCCCAATCTCCTAAATGGTGATCCTATGTTACCTCAGGTAATATAATTAACTTAATCTTTGTTCCAGGTGTTCATCCTCTTTCTACTTAAACAGTAGACAAGTGCCAAAATATATGCATAATCTTGCTTTTAATTAGACAGAACTGTTTTTTGTTTTATTTTATATTTTACATTAGATAATATATACCGTGCCTAAAAACATTGAATTTTAAATGATAAAAATATAATTTTAGAATATGCTTTATTTATGTGTAAAAGTGTTCAGGGCTAACGGCATCATCACGTTGAAACACCAGTTTCTTTATGATCACTGAAGTTAAGCAATGTCGAGCCTGCTCAGTACCTAGATGGGTGACTGCTTGGGAATACCAGGTGCTCTAAGCTTGTGTGGGTGGTGTAATGGATAATAGCTTGGAATTATTAATCAGGGAGTCATGTTCCAATTCCCATTGGGTTCGTTATATTCACTCATGCACATATACTCTTGGGAAATGTATGAATCCACCTCTTCACCCCTCAGCTATGGGTTAATTAGTAAGACTTATCTCACTAAATCCTTATTATCTCAACCAAAAAAAAAAATTTACAATCTAAAAAAATTTTCTGGCTTTAAATAACTTGCACTGAGTTGATAAGCTATAAAAAATGAATCCATCAAAAGTGCTTAGTTGTTATTGGGGCATTATCAGTAATGATGTCAATTATGTCCCATTGTGTTATTCCATTGGGCATTGGACAGGCTGAACTATTAAATATAAAGAAAGTACTAAAAGAAGCCATGTGCAGAGAATTGATGTGGATTATGTCACAAATAGGCATAACATGCCAGAAATATGACAAAATTTGCCAATCATCTGGCAGTTCTGAAATAATATGAAAATACATAGTGACCAAAATGTAACTCCTTTTGTTGGAGTCAGTTAACTCCTTTTGTTGGAGTCAGTTATGTATGTAATGTGCGTGCCAAACAGTGTAGGTCTCTTGATCTGAAAAGTCACGACCCTGCTTCTCATACATGAAAGTGTTTCTGAAGTGTTTCAAGCAATGGCTATATTCAAGAACAAGGAATATATAATATATATATATATATATATATATATATATATATATATATATATATAGTTGATCGCAGCCTTCCCTGATGATCCACTTAGGTGAAACCTTGGTAGGTTTATCTGGCTCTCTAGGTTTAACTAGGTCTGCTCTACTTACTGTATTAAGCACTTTATTTAGTTGTTTTGTGTACTTGTATCGTGGTTTTTTCTTTGGGCTTTGAACTTGAATGCTGGACGATTATTTTCGGCTAACGTACATGTTCTTGGTTCTTTCTTTTTTATACCTTTTTTTCCCTTTGGTATTGGCTTTATTATTTGCAAATCAAGACACCGAAGGTTTTCCAAACAAGTGTAGTTTCTTATACCTATAGGATTACTACTAATACTAATAATATATATATATATATATATATATATATATATATATATATATATATATATATATATCATCCACAGACACTGTTTTGTTGTATCACAGCTCAACAGTGTGGCTAGACATGTGATTGCTTCAAGCCGGGATCAAAACCTAACCAACATTTGACATCAGTCGGAGACTCTGACCCTTACGCCATCAGCTCATGCAGTGGAGAAAAGGAATTTTTAACACTCTTACATATGAGATATAAGCATTACTGGCTACCAGAGTGCTCAATTAATAGTGAAGAGCTTTTCATTATTAGGTTTTAGTGTTTTGAACCTTTCCTTACAGAGTTCCTTCTGGAATTGTTCCCCCTGCTACTGCATTTTTTTAGGGTGCAAAAAACATGAACACCTACTGTTTTAAAATTGTGATAACTCTCTTTGTATTGTGTGTACAGATTTTATTTTTTGTATATTAATAAAAGAATGGCTGAGCATTATTTTGATTTAATGCATGCATATTTTGACATTGAAAACAAAAAAAAAAATTGAAATGCAAAATAAAAAACAAACACTAACAATTTCACATACTTTGACTTTTATTACTCCTTGTGGAGTTCTGGGGTGCAACAAGAAGCAAAATGGCTAAGAAGGACATCATTTCATCAAAAGTGACGTCCTTCCACGTGTTAACATACAGGTAGACATCAGCAATTGTTTGCTCTTTCTTTCACCTGACTAGCATATTTATTTGTCTCGTTAATAAATAAAGTTATTATTTTGTTGTTTATAAATAGACAAAATAATTTACCTTCAGAATGGCTATCAGGTACATTCATGGGGCCAATAGCTTTCAAAAAATTTATCAGTCATTGATGATAGTAGCCACTCGGCACCTAGCAGTTATCGTAGCTTTCCTCAACATCACTAGCAGTGTAATCATCTCTATTTCTGACCACTGTCAACATCTGCTTGAGTAAAGCTTTCAAAATCATCATTGGAGTCTGAATCAAAGAAAAACTCTTGAATAAATATTTTGTTGGATGTTGATGTGACCATTTTTGTTTACAAAAAATCACAACAAAATTAATGTGGTTTTAATGGATGTTACACCTCATGTAGATTGTAGAAAAATTCAAAATGGGGTTGAAAAATGGAAGTTTTGCCTTGTTCCAAAGTGTTAGGCTATTTCCAGCTTAAAATACTGGAGATAACAATTGACAAGTGTTAGGCTATTTCCAGCTTAAAATACTGTAGATAACAATTGACAAGTGTTAGGCTATTTCCAGCTTAAAATACTGTAGATAACAATTGACAAGTGTTAGACTATTTCCAGCTTAAAATACTGGAGATAACAATTGACAAGTGTTAGGCTATTTCCAGCTTAAAATACTGGAGATAACAATTGACAAGTGTTAGGCTATTTCCAGCTTAAAGTACTGGAGATAACAATTGACAAGTGTTAGGCTATTTCCAGCTTAAAATACTGGAGATAACAATTGACAAGTGTTTATTTACAGCAACCCTCTGGAGGCAACAGAATGTGTCTACAGCTGCAAAGGGAGAGAATTCTACAACGATAATTTCCACCTCTAGCTAGATAAAGGTTAAGATTTGGATCAGTTAGTGAGTTGATTTAATACTGTATTTACTTGGTATGTATGGTGTAATGAGTTAATGATTTAGGTTAATTGATAAACTAGAGTGGGGATTTGGGATATGATAGGACAGAGAGGGAAGTTAGATTTATGTATTTTTATATTTCCATGTATCCTGGTTTGTAGTCACCAATTATTTTTGGAAGTTTTAAGTTTTCTTGTTCTACATTGTTGGCTGTGATCAATTGATTTTCAATTTCAGTTGGTTAATAAGATTTTGTTGACTTTTTTTCAATTTGGTGTGATTGTCGAGTATTTGTTGTGTTTTTGAATTATGATCAGATTTATTTAATACAACAAAGATATTGGTCTTATCTGCCTTCTTTTCTTTTCTTTTTTTTTTTTTTTTTTTTTTAATTAGTATGGTTATGTAGCTCCTTGACAGCGTTTTTCTTTTCTTAGGAACTTGGACGAGTTTTTTTTCTTTTGTCATATCTGTCTTAGATTGCTTCAGCTTTGAGTAGGTCCTGAATTTCTGGCTTTGTTTTTATTAGTTGTTCTTTAAGTTTGAAGTTTAACTTAATCATCTGCAATAACTCTTCTCTGTCAACTAGTGTTTTGCAAAAGACCAAGATTGTATATCAATTTATGTGCCCTTTGAGAGATTGTATCTCTGACAAATAAGTAAATATATATGTTGGTCAAGCAACAAAAATTTTATCAGTGAGACTTACGCTACATATGTCAGATTCAAGCTTGATTGCACGACATTTAAAAGAACATTCCTGCCCACATTTACAATTTAGAGAAATATTAATTGACAATACACATGTATTCCACTATGAAAATAAAAAACTTAAAATTCTGGAAGCCCTCTATATAAAAAACATTACAACCAACACTAAATAAAATTAATTATGAGTATAACAGCAAGGTATTAAAATATCTAAATTGTAATTTTTGAAGAAAATGACAATTATAACAAGAATATTTTAAAACATGTAAATTATAATTTTTTAAATAAGATTCTTATCTTCCTTACATAGTGGTAAATTTTTGAATTAACAGAGCATGTTCATGTGCACACACAAAAATTCATAACTGTCAATTGCATTAATTCTTTGTCTTAGCAATTCATCTCTGAAGATGATCTTGGATGAGATTGAAAGTACTTCAGAAAATGAAAAGCTAGTATCTTCTTTAATCAGTTTAATTACAACATTAAGAAAAAGATCCGTGAATATGAGAGGATTAAAATAAAAATAAATAGGCACAATATGTGTAAATTATTCAACCATACATACATACATGTTTGGAGAAAAAATATATGTATATGTAATGTATGTATATAGGTGTCTCCAAATATTCATGAAAAAAATGAACATACATAATGAAAAAATGCTCCAAACTTAATAAAAACAAAGTTTTTTTGTCAAAATCTTTATTATTGATAGACCATTAGATTATTAAATTACATGTTTTAAACCATTTTAGAACCATCAAAATTTTTTTTGTGTGTGTGTCAACAGGTGACCACAGTATTTCACATCTTTTTGTGGCAAAAAACATTGATTTTGCAATTTTTTATAAAAATCCTTGTCAGATGTTAATGAAACATTTTTATAATAATTATTGGATTTAATGAAACTTTCAGGACTTATTCCAAAATGAATGAAATTATTTTAGAAACGTTTCTTAGAAAATTTTTGCAATAAGATTTTTTTTTTACAAAAACTCCTATTTTATGAAACTTAGAGAAATTAATTTTTGTAGAGCTTAATTTTTATTTTAGTTATAAGCACAAGTCATTGGAATATTTAAATCATCAATTATTTTAGTTTGTTAAACGACCCCAGTTACAGAAAATTTTCTCTGAATCATAAAATAAAAACTGCAATAAAATTAAGACATTATTTAATTACAAAAACTTTTAATTGCTTTTATGAATAAGATAGATTATGAACACTATTGTCAGAAGAAAAAAATTTTATTCAAAGGATAATTTTTACAAGAATTGTTTTCATTTTTAAAATTTTTAATTAAAATAATTTACTGTTTTAAATCTATTAAAATTTTGCATTATATTGTAGTGGTTAAGTGATATTGTTAAGTAAAAACAATATTTACTAATCATAAATGGAAAAATTTACAATTTAGCGATTTGTTTTTAAAATAATTTTGAATTGTTTTTGTGTGTGTATAAACATGCTGATTTTTGTAAATACAGATGTCCATAGACAACGTGGTCAGAAAATAAGAGCATTAACTATAGTAAATTTAAAGTCAATGTACCTAAAATTTAATAAAACATTACTTTGAATTTTCCTAAATTTTTAAAATTACTAGGTAGCTAAAAAGTCATATAAAAAAGGTGCTCGTCATTTTGTCAAGTCATTTTTATAGATATATCCATCATAAAATAACTTCCCAAACATAGGTTTATCAAGTTAATTGTCAACCCCTCATAGAAACACCCACCTCTGTATTAAAAAATGCTTTCATTATATTTTAAACTAAAAGTAAGTAATATTTGCTTCAATTCAGATTTGGAGGTACATATATTAAAACTTAATTTTAAATGATTCATTTGTAAATAGAATTAAAATTACTTGATCCATTTTTTTTTTTAATTTGATTCTTTTTTTTCTTTTTTCTTTTTTTTTTATTTTTAGAGCTAAAATAGTAAAAAGCTTTCTTTTTCTCTATGAAATTCTGAGATTATGAGTTATTATTTACACACAAACTTTTGTCTCCACCTTTGCTGTTATTATCACAATCTTGCGGATGTTGTGCTCTAGTTGCTTGACAATCCAAATAACCTTGAAGGCTGTTTATTTAACTTAGTTCATATCTCACTCGTTGTCTATCTTCTGGGATATCTTGAATAGTTGTTATTTACTGCTGAATTCAAGTACATACTGCTCAGTCCAGTGATTGAACTTGCAAATTCAAAAGCAAGTGCTTTAATCCATTAGGCTATTTTTCCATGGACAATAGCCTTGGTTAGTTTCATTGACTACAATACATTGCTGTAGTCTTCAAACCGATAAAAGGTGTACAAATTGAAGTACCCATCTGTACTTAAAAATGGAACCACCTTAACCTCTTATTTCATTCACTACAATAATTATTTGCTAAAGGTAAAAAAAAAATCACATTTTTCAAAAATGGTTGTTTTATACAATATTCACTTCACCACAACTTCTTCGTCTCTTTATTTTTAATTTTTTTGTTTTTGGGTTTTAGGTGATGGATTGTCCTCGAATAAAGTGTACAAAAAACCGTAAATATGAAGTGAATTTGGTGGAAAGTGCTGAGGAATTACAATTTGTGCCTCCAGACAGTGTAACTCCTGTTGGATTAATAACCTTTCATCCAAACGCACCAGTATCGCATGAATTGAACAATAACTGCCAAATGCTGCCCGAGAAGAACATTAAAGAAGAAAATGAATCCCCCAATAAACCCAGTTTGCAACGTCCCCTGCGTGGTGTTGTGGGCAAGAAAGGTAATTAGTGCATTGATTTGACTATTTAATCCTTGCAATTTTATGGTTACTCCTTTTTTTCTTTTTTTTTATGCTTATTCTCATTTTTATTTTGAAAAGTAAATGAATAGCTTATAATTGTTATGACTTAATAGAATGTTTAAGGGCATTTTCCCATAGCCCAGTGTTTACTGGGTTTATCTGGTTCATTAATTAAATCTAAACCATTATGAATCAAAGCTATATAGAATATCATTGCTCAATATGAATATTCCACAGTATGTTTGAACCAATATTATCGTCTTTGCTTCATCACAGTTTTGAATTTTTTAGTGGTAGTGAATTCAGGTAGTGAATGGGAAGGAATTCATGTCAAAGAGTCCTTTTCTTTGAGTATCATTTTTTTTAAAATTTATTTTATTTTCTATGGATGAGGATATTAGTCTATATTTTTGTGGCCTTGTTAGGGCCAGAAATACAGACATGAGAAGAATTGAGCTAAACAAATATATTAACATAAACATTAATACAAACATATACAAATGAGTGTTACAGCAAGAATGTTTGGTCTGACTGTCAAACCTGACTGCTGAAAACTTCCCTCTCTTAAAGGCAGTACCTGCTCCTATTTATAGCTGAGAGAGTCCATGTGTGTATGGGTAAATTGCCATAACACTTTCTTACTTTCTTTGTTTCTTTCTGTTGTGGCCTTGTTAGGGCCAGAAATAAAAACACAAGAGAGGAATTGAGTTAAACAAATATATTAACAGAAACAGTAATACAAACGAGTGTTACAGCAAGAATGTTCGGACAGACTGTCAGAGCTGACTGCTGGCTTCACTCTCCAAAAGGCCATACCTGCTCCTATTTATAGCTGGGAGAGGCCATGTATGCGTGGATAAATTACCATAACAATTTCTGAGATCAGGCATTGTAACAATTTACTCTATATTGTTTGAACTGTTGTCCTCATCTTTATTGTCATATTCACAACATTTTGGCTATTGTATTCTCTGGCCTTCTTTAGGATTTGTATATTTCTGAGATGAGGTATTGTAATTATTTATACTGTTTACATTGTTTGGACTGTTGGCTTCATCTTTGTTGCCATATTCACAATGTTTTGGCTGTTCTATGCTCCGGCCTTCTTCAAGACCTTTCTAAGATGAGATATTGTAACTATTTACTCCATTTACACTGTTCAGACTATTGTCCTCATCTTTATTGTCATATTCACATTTTGGCTGTTGTATGCTTCGGCCTTCTTCAGGATCTGCCTACATTTCTGAGATGAGGTATTGTAACTATTTACGCTCTTTACATTGTTCTAACTGTTCTCATCTTTATTGTTATATTCATAACATTTTAGCCATTGTAAGCTGTGGCCTTCTTCAGGATCTGTGTATATTTCTAAGATGAGGTTTATAGCATTTCTGATAATATAGACAAAGCCATCTCTCTACATCCGTTTTCAAATATATTTGTGTTCAGTGACTTTAATGTCTACCATACTATATGGCTTAAAAACTCTGTAACTGACCTCACTGGCATCCAAACCCTTAACTTTTCAATCACTCAATCCCTCGTGCAAGTGGTCGACTTTCCTATGCTTTTACCCAGTAACCAGGATGGTAATGCTTCCCTTCTCGATCTCTGTTTTTACCTCCAACCCTGATTCTTGTTGCACTGCGCATGTTTGCCCTCATGGCAACTTTGATCATGCGGTGGTGTCTGTTAACATCTCCTTCCACTCTCGCTCCAGCCATGAACCTTCTACTAACATAATATTTTTTGTTATCAATGCACAGACTGGGACTCGTTCTGTGACTTCCTTTGCGACATCTCTTGGAATGTGGTTTTTAATCATCTCGTACAAAAATGTGCATCTGAGGTCTCCTCCTAGGTAAAAGTTGGCATTGAGGCTTTCATTCCAGCAAGAAAATACCAAGTTAAATTGCACTCATCTCCTTGATTCTCACCTGCATTCTCTGCCGCTATAGCCCATAGGAATCACTTCTGTCTGTACTATACAAATATTACAAATGATTCTGAAAGGAGAGAAGTAGTTTTTGGTTTCACCCTTTTTGTTCTTAGTAGTTGCCATAATCTTACTTATTATAAAACGCAGATTGTGTGTGTGTGTGTGTGTCTGTATGTTTATATATTGGATCGGATTTCCTACATTTTTCAACTGATTTCAACAAAACTTCACAGGACTACATAAAATTACCTTGAAGCGGTTCTAACAGTGCCAAAAATTGGAAAAACACAATTGTTTTTGCACGAAATCAATTTGAAAACATGATTAAGAGGCATCATGAGAATGAAAGGGGGACAACTCATATCGAGTTATACTTATTATAAAACCCAGGTTGTGTGTGTGTGTGTTCATTTATATAAGGGATCGGATTTCCTACATTTTTCAACCGATTTAAACAAAACTTCACTTCTTTTTTGGCAGGTAGTATTTCTTATTGTCTTGCACACTTTTTTCTTTATTTTTAACATTCAGAATGCTTTAAAAATTCCATTTACAAGACAATTGTTTATAATAAAATTCTATTCAATCGGTAGACTCATAACGATTGAAAACAATGTTTTTGTTTGAGTTTGGGTTTGACCAATTCGTAAAAAAAAAAAAAAATTAAGACATGCGTGTCCGTCAACCTTAAACAATAATCTTTGTCAATTTTATTTTTCAGTCTTTATGATGGTCGATAATTGATCTATCTCTTACTGTTACATCCCCGGACAACGCCGGGCTCTACTGCTAGTTATTTTATAAAGGGGTTCACTGGCAGTATTGCACCAATATTGCTGATAACTTGTGTTTGCTTCCTCTCATATTACACCAGCAAGCGGATGCTTTCACTCTCACTGCTTCTCTCTCTCTCTCTCTCTCTCTCTGGTCGACTGCTTGTCAACTCACTTCACCCAAATCCAATTCCTGACTTTGACTGTTTGTTTTTGCACAAACACACAGTTAAATAAATGCGATGGTAGTGACAAAAACCCGGGTTGTTGGTAAGCTTAGAATACAACTTGATTACTGACCTCTCCCTCTTCATGATTAAATGAATAATCTCTTCTTCTCAATTGGTATTCCATAGTTCATATAAACACTATTGTTTTGACATTTTATATTATAATAATAATTCTGACAAAGCACAGATTCTCTGGGCACAAACTTCACCACAGATTATCTTTCTCATCTAAAAACAAAATTCTATATTACTATAATTATTAATATTTCAAGGGTGACCATTGTTCTCTGCTACATCAGCAGTCATTCTTATGGATTGGAAAAAACATCAATATGAATAACTTTCAAGGAATTTTGAACTGAACCCTTTATTTAATGTACAAGGATAGATTGTTCTCATTCTGTTACCTATGTCTGTAAGTACTGCCCAATAAGTGCTCATCTTGTTTCCAGTGAGTCTAAGTCTGTACTACCTGACCTAGAAAGGTTACAAGAATTGGCAAGCTCCTGAAGATGAGAAAGGACAAAAATAGGGAGGATGAGACCCAGAATTTGTTCATTTTTATTGGTTAGGATGAAATCCCAGCATTAGGATATGTCTATAAATTGGTACAAGGGGTATTGTTCTTAGTGATAATTCTTAGTAGATTGAAAATGACCTTAGAGTTTTTGAATTTAAGCACAGCACTAGACTGACATCAAGATCTCATCAATTTGCAGTTAAGCTGGCGAGATGTATCTGTAAACTCTATGCTAACACTTTCTTTTCATGCACTTCTCGCTTGTGGAACTCCCTTTCAGCCCCATGCTTTCCAGCCAACTTTAATCTGCAAGAATTTAAACAAAATATCAATCCCTGTCTGTTGTTTTCCTGATTACTCTCTCTTTTTTCTGATCATCATTATTGTTTTTGTTCCTAATTCTTCCACAACCTGTAACCCCTTGTGTTTTAGCATCATTACTTCTTTGCTTGGGGTGATACCAATTTACAACAAAAAAAAGAAACACTGAACACCAAACAGATTTGAACCTACACAATGAACATTGGAAGGGATAAAAGGGAGAATAATAAAATACAGGGTCAGAAAAGAGCAGAGGCATGTGATAATGGATAATCTTAATTGTCAATACCCATGGAATTTCCACAGGTTCAGCTACTATATATAATGTTTTCTTTTCTTTTTCTTCTAAGATGCCTGTTTACATATTGACCTTAATTATGTAAAAACATTTCTTGTTTTATTGTCTTCATATATTTCAGGTGATGATCAATTTGAATCTTATTGCTGGAAATTTCATGAAATAGCCAACATAAGGAGACAGAAAGTAGAACTGACCGCTGTGAAAGAAGAGCGCTTTGATCAAATTGAAGAGAAAATGGAGAAAGTTGTAGAGAGGTTATTATTTCTATTCAATTATTGTCAGAAATACATCTGATTATCTGATAACAAAAATAATAATGTAAAATAATATATATATATATATATATATATATATATATATATAAATGCTAAAGCTATACAAACTATGAGGGGAGCTTCTTTTTTTTTCTTTTTTTTTTTTTAACAATGATGTTCACTCTGGACAAGGCCCAAGGACAATTTGAGGTAAGGTAAAGGGTTACAGATTAAGAGGCATTGCTTATGTGGATATATGTGAAAGATAACAGTTAACCCTAGACTTAAACAGATTAAGATTGTGGTGACTGGGGAAGATTCCTCTTGGGAGTTGATCCCACAAGGCAGTGTCTTGTAGGAAAATGCTGCTCAAGCGGAACTTACATCTCATCAAAGGGATGCAAACAGAATGTGGGTGATTCACTTTAATATACATGTGGCATGGTGGGTTCTAGCCATGAAGGTTAGAATTGGTAGAATTGAGGAATTTAGTTTGTCTGAGCACTTTCCATGGAAATAGTAATAGGACAACAAGAGGCTTGTGACATTTCATCTATGGGAGAGGGGTTGTAGGGTGGAAAATAATTTATCACCCACAAGGACGTGGAGACACTTTTGGACTCTATTGAGACCAGAAATTGAAGACTGGGCAGCTCCTGCCCATATATGGCAGCAGTACACTATTTTTGGCCTGATCTGGTTCTTGTAAAGGTAGAGGATAGGATAGGAGTCAGGTACTTGCTGGAACGATACACGGAACTAAACATTTTTCTAGCATCTTTAGTTATAGATTATATGTATGAGTTCTATTAGGTCTGGACTGACTTTAAGGCCCAATAGGTGTTTAACACACAGGGCCACCCTGAAAGAACATCTGTTCATTGCAATTGGTCAAAGCTTTGCTTGACTAGCAAATCTTGCAAAGAATGTAAATATAAACATCAAAATGGCTTTGTGACAGACTTGAGGAAGTTTAGTATCTTTTTAAAGGATAAACAAGTTTAAAATCTGCATCTGGTTTCAACTATAATTTCTTTAGTTATGGATCATATGTATGAGTTACATGAGGTTAAGTTTTTCTATCTTAGGTATTTTAAGTTTTTCTGTAGTTCGTTGTTGCCTATTGCATCTACTCCTCTCTCCCTATTGTGATGAAGATACAATTGAGCCTTCTGCAGGAGCTAGCTTCAATGCCACTTGATAGGGTGGCTTTTTAAACTAGTTTTGAATAAATTTAATCATTTATTTTATTATCGTTTTCTTTCATATTTAATAGTTTTTAATTAAAAACAAAAATTAAACTTAGGATATCTGCTGCATGTTGTTGCTAAAAAAATTTAAAACAAATTCATTTGCACAAAATGTAATTTCAGTGTGGACATACTCTAGAAAGTATATTTTTATTGACTCATTGATTGTTTTGTGATATAATTTGACTTATTTTTATATATAATCACACTATATAAATGAATTATTGCAGGTTATAACTGTCACCATTAGTCAGTTGCTCTGGACGTGTTTTCAGGAGACATCTCTAGTAATATTCACTGCTGCTCAATACTTAATGTAATGAAAAAAATGTTTTCTTTTGAGGAATAGATAAACCATCTGTAATATTCATAAACTATCATTCATTGCTCAGCAAAAATAATATAACAATAGAATATTCTGGTAAGAAATATTTAAAACTTAAAGCATTACCAAAGTGTTTTAGTAAGAGCAAAAATATTCTGTTTTTAATTGTAGCTATCTTTTTGTAATATTTTACTTGATATTTCTTATATGGAAAGTCATATTAGTAAGAATGAAGTATGTTAACTGTTGTATCCTTAAAGAGGTTACAAACAGATAACGGTTGTACTTGAGTGAAGGAACAGCAACATGCATGTAAATGAAAAAAAGAGATGTTTATTGTAAAAGAGAATACACTACTGAAAGACGGGGAATCGGCTGGCAGGATATTAATTCCCAAAGCAAACCTCCAGGTATATCCTGTGCTCACTATATATAGCTACTGATATAGTTAGTCCACATAAGCAATAGGGAGTGTGGGACATTCCATTGCAACAGTATGTATATGTTCACTTTCTGACCATGGGACCCAGGTTCGAATCTTGCCACGGTTGATTTGTCAGGAAGTAGACTTCCTGATGTTATCAGTCTGGAGGAGGTGATCCCAGCATGTGGCACATTAGGAAAGTCCTCGTCGCCACTGTTGTATCCTTAAAGAGGTTACAAACAAATGTGATACTTGAGTGAAGGAACAGCAACATGCATGGAAATAAAAGAAAGAGAGGTTTATTGTAAAAGAGCATACACTACTGAAAGACAGGGAATCGGGTGGCAGGCTAGTAATTCCCAAAGCAAACCTCCAGGTATATCCTGTGCTCACTGTATTTCGCTACTGATATATCAGTCCACATAAGCGATAGGGAGTGTGGGACATTCCATTACAATATTAACCTTGTAAACTTCCATTCTAAAAGATACAAAAAAAAAAAAATGATTGCCAAATAATGCCTCAATTTTCAGTACCAAAACAGTCATCCAGCTAGCCTTGGACCTAATAACATAGAACAGGTCAACCCATTTCATTATTCTTTCAGACTTGCTATATGTACTGACAGCCATCAATAACAAAAATATGGACAACCCACTAATCGCCAAATTCCTGAATAGCTTTAACTTAATACTCAATCAAAAACGCATCATACTTTGTCAGATCCATAGCCATATTGAGATCCCTGGGAATAGCAGGGTTGATAAAGCAGTCAAGGGATCCCTCTCAATGAACATATCAAATTCATAAATCCCCTTTATGGACTTGAAAGCCACAATTAACACTTACATACTCAACCAATGGCAAAAATCATGGAATACATACTAACAACAAACTATATCAAATAAAACTTATTTTGACTGTACAACATCACAGTACCAGACACTCAAGAAAAAGATGATGTCACATTTACAAGAATCAAAATCTGCATAACTATATAACTCACTCCTTCCTCCGAAACATTGAAGACCACAAGTCCCCCACACCAAGGGTTGGACCCAAAGACATTCTAGAATTCCTAAAAGTATCAGGTCATCCCATAAGTTCTGTCCGAATTTTGAATAAAGAAAACAAGTGATCAAATGTTACATTTAATTACAGATTCAATCAACAATGTATTTTCCCCGATTATCTATGACTTCCTTCAATCTATTAACAAGCTTACTAATTCCATTACTGTAAAATTCTTTTGGCTTTGATTTGAAGAACTCGCAAATGTCAGTTTTAACCTCTTCCTGTGTTACAAAAGCTGTTTCTTCCAAATGATTTTGTAAGCTACGAAACAAATGGTGGTCTGAAGGATCAAGATTGGGAGAATAAGGTGGATGAGGAATTTTCTCCCAACCAAGTTCTTCGATCTTTTGTGACGTGATTCTTGCTGTGTGGGGTCACACATTTTCCTGATGAAACATCACCTCTTTTCAATTTACTAGAGCAGGTTTTTTTTTTTCCTTGAAGCTTAGTTCAAATGCTCTAATTGCTGACAGTATATTTGAGCATTAATTGTTGCATTAGGTGGTAAGAATTCAAAGTGGATTATTCCTTGGCGATCCCACCAGATCCTTTTGCCCATGAAGTTCCCTTCTCGGCTGTGGCTGGGGTCCTTCCCCTTTACAAAGCCACTGTCTATGACGCTTAACATTTCAATAAAAGATCCATTTTTCGTCGCCAGTCACAAGTCTATCCAAAAAAGGTGAAACAAGTTGGCGAGAATGGAGAGAAGAACAGATGTCAACTCGAGATTTGAGGTTGTTTTCAGACAATTCATGAGGCACCCATTTTCCAAGTTTAGGAAATTTTCCAAGTTGTTGAAGATGATGATGAACAGTTGTAGGGTTTGAACTGAGAATCACTGCCAATTCCTCAACTGATAAAGCAGGATTTTCTTTAAGGGCTGCTTCAAGAAGCTTTTCATCAAACTCAACTGGACGTCCGGTTCGATCTTCATTTTCAAGGGTGAAATCTCCACCTCTGAATTTTGCAAACCATCTTCTGCAAGTTCTTTCATTCACACATTCCTCTCCATAAACTGAGTGAATGTTAGCAGGGTTTTAATCAAACAAAATTTAATTTTATTGTTCTCTGAAATAAAATTTGATCAGTTTAAATGCATCTAAACATAAAAATAATGTTCAGCTCCATTAGACATTATAAAATACTTTTTAAATTTTGTTCATTTTAACAAAAAGTTAAAATTCGGACAGAATTTATGGGATGACCTGATAACAAGACTTTACTCCAAAATATAAAAAGGAAACTGAATAAGCACCCAGCACACTATTATATAATAACACCTTATAATAAGAGAATATGTCTGCTAAATAAATAGAAAATAAAAACAACTATCTGATTTGGTGCAAAATGACCTTTCGGGTTGGTGTGCTTGTAAAATAACCCATCTAAATTAAGGTACTAAGGTTTCTGTAGCAAGTAGATTTTTACAGTGTGGAGTTACTAGCTCCATGCTTGACCAGTTTTGGATGTAGAATTGTTGTTCTTCTAGACTGGTTGCCAAACAAAACTAGAAAACCCTGTAGGAAGGAATAGAAGAGTTGGATTCATAATTTCCCAAAGTGTTTTTTGTGTGAAAGTGAATGCAACAGGCGTTATGGCATTGAACACAATATGCAATTCTCAGTTTTTGTGCTGATAACCACTATACTACATCCACGTTCTTTATTTTTCTTAGAAATATCAGAGAAGAGAAGCTGAAAAACCCTTTGAAGGTAGACCATAGACGTGCCTCATGGATGAATGGCTTTATGATGTACAGCCAGATGAACAGAAGAAAATTTATAGAGTAAGTATTTTAGTTTCTGTTACACTTTTTTTTGCAAGAAAAGAAATGTCTTCAGGGATGTAGCCATACTCACCATACTTGATCGATTGTGTTGATGAGGTTATTTAACTTATAGTTGAAGGTTTTGAATCCCTTATTGTCCTTCTAAACCAGTTGTCACTCAAGGCTATGGGAGCCAGAA